AGGGTGGTGGAAAATTGCATCATGGCTATTGCTTCTCTGGAAACTTCAAAATCACTCAATTAATTCATGTATAATATTCACTTTTATTTGTATAGCAGTTCTCATAAAGAACCGATTCGATGGCACACAACCACCAACTACCACCACCACATATAAGTTCATCAGTCCTTTCAGTGATTGGGCCTAAGGAGTCCTGGTGTGACGCTGTAGAATAAGCACTGGACTTCTGAACTCAAAGTTGGCAGTTCAAACCCACCAGCTGCTCCTATACAAAGTCGAAACTGACTTCACAGAACTTAACAACAGTAGAGAGAACCCCCACCTACCACCCAAAGTGACTTTTTGCTCACTAGGAATGTATTAACTGGGGAATCTCCAGCTCAATGCTTTGTTTGACTTTATACATTTTTGGTTTTCTTGTTTTTCTTCTGCAGACCAGGAATGTCTCGCTTTCAAGCAGTCTGGCTGAAGGATATCATTGACAGCAAATATGCGTTAATTGAGTCAGGCCCCATCTAATTCAATTGTATCCCATGTTTAATGAAATGTTTTGGGATTGGCTTTCAGGTCAAAGTGTATTAAAAGTACAACGCTGTACATGAAACTATAGAAAATTTATTGAATAATAAACTTGTGGCACACAGCCCTGCTTCTTTGTTTTCTTGGCATTCATTCATTTTCCATTCTGCAACTTCCATCAGATTGGCAGGCAGAGTAACCAGTCGGTTGTTTCCTTTTTTCTGAAAGGTTTTCCCCATCATTGAATCTATCACTTCGGAGTCTCACAGGTTAGAGAGTTGGTAAATCAACCATCACACCAAACTAAGATTGGTATTTAGCTGTTGTTGCACTCTCTGAACCTAAGTCTTCAGCCCAGACACACCTCTTTATGGGCACAACTGGGGAACAAGAAAACACCAACAATTCTACAGCTTACAACAGAATCCAATCAAAAAGGATTCCTGACTCACAGGTCCCTTTGTTTAGCCTCAGTACTAAACAATACATTTTGAAGTTCTGAAATCAGGCATGCTGGTTTCCAAAACATACCACACTGTGACGGCAGCAGAGTGACTGGAGGTTGGGGGTTGTGAAACAGGGATGAGTTCACTTACCATCCTTACTTATTTCTGGTCTTCTTCCCATCCTCACACAAGGCCATCACTCGTTCCTACCATCCCCGTGCGGCTGTGTTGCCAGGGGGCAAGATGTCAAAACACCACAGATGACGTTACATTACACTCAGAATGATGACTGAGAAGTACATCAGGGTACACATGGACATAGATAAGCACTGGGAAGGAGCAGAGAATCCTGAAAATCACTGATGTGTTAGGGAGGTAGGGCTGGGAACAATTTGTCTTTTTCTTTTTTAAAGGTACATTTGTGCAATACATATAAAACAGGAGGCTAGATCCTACCAAAGCAACATGCAGACACAAGGAAGTGGGAAGCTAGATAACTCTCCGTGGAGAACAAGAAATAGATTTAAAATATAACTGATTTATAGCTCTGGTGAGTAGACACAGGTTACTAAGCAGTAACTCTCAGCTGATAAGAGAACAGTTTATGCCCTTTCACTCTTCCCCAAAGGAGCTCTGGTAGCGTAGTGGTTACGAATTGGGCTGCTAACCTCAGGGTCAGCAGTTCGAAACTCCCAGCTGTTCTGCGGAAGAAAGATGTGGCTTTCTGCTTCCGTAAAGATTTACAGCCATGGAAACCCTGTACAGGGTCGCTGTGAGTCGGAACCGACTCCATGGCACATAGCATCAATTCTTCCCCGAAGAATACGCTACTTAAGCTGTTCTTTGGCATATATTTCCCTAAAAACCCCTAATGAAAGAAATGGCAAAGTTCTGAAGTACTTTCCTATCTTTTTTTCCCCATTTCCTCAATAAGCATTTGTTGAGTATGCACCATGTGGAGGAGATGCCACAGAAGCAAATGAAAATTTGCAATACCCACACACCATCAAATTGTTGCACTGAAACTACCTTGCCTGCTTAAATGGTTATGTGCTGTGGAGTCTCATAAGGACCCCGTACAGGGTTTCCGAGGCTGTAAATCTTTACGGGAGCAGAAAGCCTCATCTTTCTCTGGCAGAACAGCTGGTAGTTTTGAACTGCTGACCCTGAGGATAGCAGCCCGATTCATAACCACTATGCTACCAGAGCCTATCGATTACCTAGTAGTAACTATTGTGAACCGCAGAACTATTGTGCAGCCAGAGTGCTCCTTGGAGGCCAAGATGGCCACACTTCGTCTCTCATACTTCGGACATATTGTCAGGAAGGAGCAGTCACTGGAGAAGGATATCATGTTTGGTAAAGTGGAGGGTCAGAAAAAAAGAGGAAGACCCCCAATGACATGGATTGGTTGAGTGGCAGCATCGATGGTCTCAAGAGTGGCAACACTAGTGAGGTTGGCCCAGGATCGGGCAGTGTTTCGTTCTGCTGTGCACAGGGTCGCTATGGGTCAGTGCCAACTTGATGGCACCTAACAACAACAACAACAACTATTGTGAGGTGTCCATAATAGAAATCACTTCACACTCAGAAGTCATCAATGTTGCTACATGCAACTGCATGTTTACTTCATTAATTTTGGATCAAAGATAGATGTTCTCCTCGAGCATATGCTAAAGAGTGAACTTTTGATCTATACTTTGCAAGATGACTCTTATTTAGGACTAGCCATGAGTCAGTCCCCCATAACCCATATCATTTAAGTTCATCCTCTTGTTCAGTGCACTTGAATGAGTTCCAACTCAGAATGACTCTGTATAGGGTTTCTGGGAGTGCTGCTGTAGGATAAGCACTAGGCTGCAGAGTCCATTTGAACTGCAAGGTCAGTGGCCCAAACCCACCAGCTGTTCCTTGCAAATCCTATACAGGGTCACTATGAGTTGGAACCGACTCGATGGCACTTAATAACAATAACAAGATAGAGTTTTGGAGGCTGTAAATATTGGTTGTTGTTAAGTGCCGCCGAGTTGGTTCTGAACCATAGCGACCCTGTAGAGGGTTTCCAAGGAGTGACTGGTGAGCTTGAACCGCCAACTTTGCAGTTCAAACTGACTGTGCAGTCTAGTGCATTAACCCACAGCGCCACACCAGGACTCCTTCATGGGAGAAAAAAAAAAAATCTCTCATCTGTGGAGTAAGGTGATGGGTTCAAACCAATGTCCTTGTGGTTAGCAGTCCAGTGCTTATCCCACAGAGACACAGCACTCCCCTGAAATTAATCCTGTTGTTGCTGTTAAGTGCCGTCAAGTTGATTCCGACCCATAGTGACCCTGTATAGAGTTTCTGAGGAGCAACTGGTGAGCTTGAACTACTGACCTTGCAGTCCAAACCGACTTTGCAGTCCAGCACATTAACCTGTAGTGCCACACCAGGCATGTACTAATTGTTGTTAAGTGCCATGGGACTGCGTCCATCTCATGATGACCATGTATTGGGCTTCTGAGGAGTGACTGGTGAATTTGAACCACTGACCTTTTGGCTGAAACTGACGTTGTGGTCCAGTGCATTACCTCACAGCACCACACCAGGCCTGTACTAATAGCGTAGCTGAAAACAATCTTAACAAGAGTAGCCCAAAAGCCCACTGCCTCCTCTCCCTCCACCCTCTGACCTTACTAAAATGGGACAAAACAGGAAAGGAAAAAGATGGTGGTATCATAATCTCACATTTTCAATTTCTCCCCAACTTAAAAATCAATAATAACCATAAAAAGGTGACCAAGCAAGGGGATTCTATGCAACATTAAAGATTAAATGGGAGGATAGATATGAAGAAGAAACAGAATGGTCTAACATTTTTTAAAATGAAATCTATTTATTACATAAATGCAAACATTACAAAGGTTTCAACATCATTTTTGCTTCAACCTTATGAAACAACAAAGTAAAAATACTGATTCAAACTCCTGGCCATAGTTGATTTCCATTCTGAGCTGTTATCTTATCAGCAAAGCACAACTTAGATCATAATAATGTACTTACATTGGCACAATAATAGATTTCCCAAGCTTTTATATTTCTAAGAATTGTTTTAAAATAATTTTTTTTTGCTTTTTTTTTACATCTTTCTGCCCCAAGGTTAGCAGTTTGAAACTACTAGCTGTTCCACAGATGAAAGATGAGGTTTTCTGCTCCTGTAACGATTTACAGTCTCGGAAACCCTATGCAGTGTTGTTCTGAGTTAGAACTGTAGACACACCCAGCACAAATCCTTTCGTAGTACCATAACAAAGACAACCCTCTCCCCAATTATAACCACAGGCATTGTTGTTGTTAAGTGCCCTCGAGCTGGTTCTGACCCATAGCGACACTGCATAGGATTTCTGAGGAGCAGCTGGTGAGCTTGAACCGCCGAACTTGTGGTTCAAATGGACCTTGCATTCCAGCACATTCACCTGCAGCGCCACACCAGGACTCTGTAGAGATCAGGATTTACAACACTTTATTTTGGGAGTTAACAAATTGATTAATTAAGTAATTAATTAAAACTGAAAATGAATGTTCGCACTTATAAGTAATTCATCCAGTCTGTGGGTAAGTTTGCTTTTTGGTTTCTTGGTAGGTTTTGTGGTGGAGGTAGGGACTAAAAGCAAATACTTTACTTTGACGGAAGACTATATATTATATTATCTTATACAAGTCAATTTTCAAATCCCCGATTAGCCATTTTCAGCAATGCCTTCCATTTATTAACAAAGGTGATCTGCAGGCTTCTCTCAAGTTCATTTATATAAGACATTCAAAACAGGAGTGAGCATTTCTCACAGGTTCAGTTGAGGAGGGAAAGGCAGGTGTCATGCGCAGGTAACGGTAACAATGCTTCTCAGCTCGCTCTCCCACAATGCTTCTCAGCTCGTGACATCTCAATTCATCTCATGGCACCTCCCCCAGTACAGCAGGATCTCACCCATAATTAGGATTTTCCAATCAGAAAGGTATTATGGTTGATCCAAAAGAACCCAAAGAACTTGTTGCAGTTCTATCAAGAAGCAGCTTTTTACTGAAGGACTGAAAGAATGAAATAGAAGGCACAATATGACTGTCAAGCTCTTTCAGCTCCTAATAACCTTTCTGTGTGTATGTATGTATGGAACTCAATCTGCATTTCCGCATTAAATGTCTGTTGGCCAGTCTGAGAAACCTTACTTGTCATCCTTCCCTTTGGTCTTTCTGTATACCATCTCTCGGAAACTGGCCAGGATCTTGTTCTCTCGTTTACGCCTCTCTTCTTGGTTAAAGGATGCGAGAGCTCTCTTCTCATCAGCGCTGTAGATCTGGTTCTCTTTCCGCAGTCGCACAGCCTCCATTCGGCGGTGTCTGGAAAAAATTTTAGTTTGGGGCTTAAATTTCTCAATAATTATTCTCATGGCACTTCCTTGCTAATCCTTTCTTAACGCAGAGTAGACTATTACAAAGGGTGACAAATCAAAATTGTGTTTTTGAAATGGGTCCATAATTTTTAAGATAGCATTTGCTTTATCTATCTGTTGATGTGATGTGTCCTTTGATTCATTTCTAGTATTCAAATAAAATGATCTCTGATGATCTGTCAGCATAGTGAATATTCTTGTTTCTAAATACTAAGGACTTAAGTCTAGTTTGGTTATTTCCAGTAGAACCACAAGAGATGGGCAAATTATAAAACTTCATGGGTAATATAACCATTTCCTATGATTAATGGTAGAACTGATAGCAGGAAAGATTTAACTTGTCATCATAGACAAAGAACCAAGTCTAAATCTATAATTGAAGAGGAGCTTTTTGACTGGATTTAATGTCCTTGGAATCTGGCATTGGCTCAAAGAAAAGAAAGGATTTCGTACAATGACTAACTCAAGTAGGGGTAGAAGCAGAGGGAAACCTACTATATCATTCTCCAAAGGTCTGTACAATTAGTGGGACGATGTCACGAGACCTGCCTCTTATGCATATGATCCCAATCCTACACAATCAGCAGTTTAAGATGAGGCCTGAGCTAAGTTTAGAGAAACAGAGTAAGGGGAAGTGGAGAGAATTATTTCAGGCTGGTATTGGAGGTGGGGAGGGGTAGGAAGGAAAACCAAGGAGATGAGAACTGAGGTTGCTCAGGGTGCAGTAAATAGAGCAATCTATCGGGGACAGAAGTACTATATGAACAGTGTATCTGGGAAAGGCTTTCTCTGGGGTATCTAGGTGTGTAGTTGCTGGATAATACAGCATAATAAATGTCATGAATGTTCAACTTTACAAGATAATGTCAACTGTCTTCCAAAACGATTGTGCCAATTGACAGCCCCAGCAGCAATATTTACAAGTATCCATACCCTCTCAAGTGCTTGGTATTATATGAGTTTGGAACCTTTGTCTATCAAATGGAAGTAAAATGGTATTTCACTATGGTTTTGAGTTCCATGTGCATTTCTTTTTCTGGGTTGCTTATAGGTATCTTTACATATTCTCAATACTTACTTTATCAGTTGTGTGAGTGCAAAATCTTATCCCAGTTTATCACTTGTCTTTTTTGTACCTTTTTTTTATAGTTGTCTTTTGATACCATAAAAAGTAAGCAATGTTCTTACTTTTAATCTTGAAAGGACACTGGAAAGGTTGATTCTGTGATGTTAGAATACAGCTAAGCTTGAGGCTGAGTTGCATATGTACTTGGAACTTTAACAACCACATTTATACCAATAAAACCGACATTAAACCAATATGTATAGTTGTTCTTTTCATTAGAAATGGTTACTTAATGAAAACCAGTCACCAAAATACAATTCTGGTAGTAAGAAAGAGGAAAAGATCTAATCATGAAAACTAAAGCAATGTCAAGAACATACCTGCTACCACTCATTACGTAGCCTGAGCACTCAAAGGATGCAATTTCTTCACTTGTCAGGCCGATTTCACCTCTTCGTGGGATACGCTTTCCTGCTTTCACATATTCAGCCATAGCTGCACCTTCACCAGGCAACAGAGCATGGCCATAGCTAAAAAGGAATTCAGAATTCAGAAAAGGTCCTTTAAACCATCTCGATATAAAAAGGAAGGCCACCCTCTAAAGAGAGCACGACAGAGCATTTTCTTTAAGAAAACAGTAGGGAGAGCAGTGCTGAGCAGTACACATTAGGAGGTCATGAGTGAACAGAGAACTGTAATCTATACAACTAAGCAAGAAAAGCAGAGATACTTTGGGAGAATAAAAGGATTGATACTAGTAAATTCACAACTGTGGATTAATTTATCCCTATAGGTATCACTTTAACTGCTTCTGCCTCCAGCTAATTCCCTTTCAGAAAAAAAAAGGGTAAATAAATACACCTCAAATTGACATACTTTTTGGACTTACAATCAATAATCATGCTGTACAGTAAAAACTATTCATTTTCATTCAAGGGGACTTTAAAAGTTATCATTCAGTGAGTGCTTCTTTAATAACTATTAAACTCAAAGCATGTGATAGAAAAATAATCTCTGCTCTTGTGGAGTTTACAGGTAAAGATATATTGCAACATAAGGTAGCATATATAACACACTTCATTACAAAATAGGAAATACTGTGAGAATTAATGAGGCAAAGGTATCACATATAACAGTAGGGAGAGGTATTGGGAACCACATTATTGTTGTGTTTCTTTAGTGCTGTTGAGTTGGTTCCAACCCGTAACGACCCTGTATAGGGTTTCCAAGAAGTGGCTGGTGAGATTGAACCACTGACCTTACAGTTCAAACTGACTTCACAGTCCAGAACATTAACCCCCAGAGCCACACCAGGACTCCAGGAATCACATAGGCCCCCGCCCCTTTTAAAAAGTGACTTTGAGGGATGGTAAGGATGTTGACAGGAATCAGCTGGGGAAAAAGAGGACAAGGAAGAGAAGGGAAGGCCTTTGGGGAGGACACAAGTTGAACAAGGCACAACAGTGAGACCGTGCAGAGTTCATAGAAGGGATTTTTAATAGTTCAGCTCAGTTGAAGCTTAGGGTCTAACTAAGGGGTGTGGTGGTCGTGGTGTGCTGTCGAGTAGGTTCCAACTCACCGTGACTCTGGACTGCCAAGTTGGTTTGAACCACAAGGCCAGTGAGTCAAGCTCACCGGCTGCTCCTAGGAAACCCTACACAGGGCCGCTATGGGTTGGAACCAACTTGAGGGCACCTAATGACAAGAACAATAGGGTTTCTGAGGTGGTAAATCTTTATGGGAGCAGAAAGCTTCATCTTTCTCCTGTGGAGCAGCTGGTAGATTCAAACTACTGACCTTGCAGTTAGCAGCCCAATGCATAAGCCACAACATTGCCAGGGCTCCTTAAATAAGGGAGAAGAGGGAAATCAACTTGGCAAGGAAAGTTGGGGTCATATTCTTTGGAAGATCCTTTAGATACTGAAAATGCACTCACTGCTACTTACTTCAAAGGTTTATCATCTTGAGAGGCAAGTGTTTTTGGAGCTTCTGGACCAATTAAATCTGAGGGTTCTTCGGGCTCTGTACAAAAGATGTTCAGAAACATAGTCACAATTTGATGAATTGGTTAATTTAATGTTGCACTGTCCAGAGTCAAAGTCTATCAAAAGAACTTACTTGATCTTTCCTTCCAGGGATTCTCCAGAAATTCTTCTTGGGAATCTCTAGAGCTTGAATCACTGCTCTCTTTTCTATTCTTCTTAGACTTCTTTTTCTTATATTTCTTCCTGGAGTGATTATGATTTGATACAAATTGACTCAAAGTCCCGTGTTAAAGGGCATCTTATTTTTTTCAAGACAATGTAGTGTAAGATAGATTAAAACGGTTTAAATTCTCTGCTTATTCAAACTTGTTAGAGAAGAATTTGAATTTTAAAAGATCCTTGAACTTATTTAAATCAAATTGCTTTACTACAAATAAGACTACTAAAGGGAACAATTAATACAGTTTTCATATTGTAGAAAGACAACAGAAATAAAGTAGTTTAAAAACAGCCTTGCTGTTAGAGCATCAATAATAATTTAAAGCATAATGGATTAAAATACATCTAATATATTTAAATCCTTGGGTTCATGTTGTTGTTGTTAAGTGCCATCAAGTTGGTTCTGACTCATAGCGACCCTGTAAAAGGTTTCCAAGGAGCGACTGGTGTGTTTGGGTTCATAATGATATTTTTGATTCATAATGGTACTAAAAAATATATCCCATTAGTCACCTTTGAAGAATGTTAGGAAATCAATTCATTATTTTGAAAATTTACAAAACAAACAACCCCTCCCCCGCACAAATCAAGCAATTATTCAGCCCTTTCTATAAAAACTGTGCTTCAGGGAATCAAACAGTTGATGATGTAAAGTTTCTCTTATAGAACTATTCTACCTAATAAATAAAGGAGGAAAGACAGAATTAGACTATCAGTATTTTACAAGTCCTGGTGTGGCGCTGTGGGTTAATGCGCCAGACTGCAAAGCCATTTGAACTGCAAAGTCTGCGGTTCAAGCTCACCAGCTGCTCCTCAGAAACCCTATACAGGGTTGCTATGGGTCGGAATTGACTCAATGGTACTTAACAACAACAATATAATAATGAATCTAGGGACTGATTATACATAGAAAAATATATAAGTAGGAAAATATATAGTACCACCTATGAAGTATTCCTTGACTATTTCAAGCTTGAATCTGAACTTCACCAAGCCTCTAGATCTATCAATCTCCAGGAAATATAGAAGACATAAGAACATGTTAAAGATTAGCATCAGAATGTAATCAGTGTCTCTATGAAAACCTATCCTATTTGTCATGAGATCAGAACTGGATGGTGCCAAGTTACTATTACTAAATGTTTTGATCAAAGATTCTATTCAAGAGTCCTGATCCAAAGGGAGAAAATACAGAATTCTGAATTCTCATAGAATCCAGACTTTCTGGACAACTCCCAAACTATTGCCCTGAGAAAACCTTTAAACCTTAAATCAAAATAACCCCAGAAGTTCTCTATAAATCAAACAAAAGTTTAGCATCACTAGTAATTTACGTCTGCCTTGAGCACCATGATTTTTTAAGAACTATCTACATGGGATGAAAAGTTTAAGAACGACCATCCTGGTGTGGTGTTGTAGGATAAGTACCAGACTATTAATCAGAAGTTCAAACCTACCAGTTGTTCCTCAGAAACATTATACAGGATGTAAATAAGTTGTTACTGACACAATGACACTTAACAAAAGCATATGACATCAGCAATTTAATAAATAAGAAGCTTAGGGGACAGTGGACTTTAAGTTAATGCTGTTGTTGTTAAATGCCGTCGAGTCAGTTCCCTGTATAGGGTTCCTGAGGAGCAGCTGATGGGTTTGAACTGCCAACCTTGAGGTTAGCAGTCCAGTGAGAAAGGTCCGATGCAACTCAAAGAATGTAATCAGTATCACTGAACTGTACATGTAGAAATTATTGAATTGGTGATGATCTGTTGTGTATACAACAAACAAACAAAAAGAATGCAATCCGTAAATGTATACTACAGGAAACTCTACAGGATGAGTGAGCTAGTTTTTTCAACAAATAAAACTGCAAGAACAAAAAGGGACCGAGAACCTACTGATTCAAAGAGGTATAAGAGAGATATTAACAGATTATAGCTCATGGACATTATTTGGATCCTAATTTGAACAAACTATCAAAAAAATTGATGAGAATCAAGGAAATAATATTGTTTTGTAGGTATGATGGTGCTCTTGTGGTTATGATTTTGTTTTTTTAAAAAAGAGTGCCTATCTTTTAGAGAAACATGGTGATGTGCTCAAAGATGAAATGATATTTGGGATTGGTTTCAAAATAATTGGGGGTAGTGGAGATTGCCTACAAGTTGACAATTGCTCATTTGGGTGATGGCTACATGGAGGATCACTGTACTACTTTTTACCATTTTATATATATTTAAATATTTCTATAATAATAATTAAGCAAAACACCAACGATCTGTGTTTCTTCTTCTTTTCCTTTTTCTTGGTTTTCTTTGCTCTTCTTTTTGTATCTTCATCTGCAAATTAAAACACATTAAAAATGATAATTTTATAAAACACATTATAATAGAAAATTACCATGAAAATTCTAATAATAGACCTTTCAGTCTATAAACATCATATTATGCCCCATTTGTTATTACAGAGAAATTAATTTATTCAAACATTTATTCTTATTTGCCAGGAAGTGTGCTAGGCATTAGAGACATAGAGATGAAAGTTAATGTGGTATCTGATCACATAGGGTATATATATTTTTTGCTGTGTGAGACATTGGTATTATGGTTAAATAGGAAAATGTCCTTATATTTTAGAGATGCATACAAAATCTAGGGTTGAAGCACTCACTTTGAGTATCCCAGCAAAAACACATTTGAAGCAAATATATTGAAATGCTAACAATGGTTAAATATCTAGGGCTGATAAGTACCAAGAACTGCCATTAGAACAAACAAATAAATCTGTCTTGGAAGAAGCACAGCCAGAATGCTCTTTAGAAGCCAGGATGATGAGACTTTGTGTCTCATACTTTGGACATGCTGTCAGGACATATTGTCCCTAAAGAAGGACATCATGTTTCTTAAGTGGAGGCTCAGTGAAAAAGAGGAAGACCCCCAAGGAGATGGCTTGACACAGTGACAGCAGCAATAAGTTCAAACATGACAACTGTGAGGAGGACGCGGGACCTGTTGTGCACACGGTCACCATGTGCAGGAACTGACTTGAAGGCACCTAACAATAACAACAATCCGATTTCTCTTTACTGTTCTGAATGCTCGATGGTTTTCATAATGAAAAACAGCTGTGTGTGTGTGTGTGTGTGTGTGTGTGTGTGTGTCAGAGAGGGGAGGGATGCTCTGCAGGAGCTCCATCTGATAGAGGTGACATAACCAGAGAGGCAGAGGGAAGCATGGAGTGTGTGGGGCACACAGAGGCGTCTCTCTAAAGCTAGCTTTTTTTCAAAATCGTCTTCTTCCAAAAGTAAGTAATGCATGCCCATTGTTGAAATGAATACGCCAAGCCAGATGGAGAGAGAGATTGTAGGCAGAGGGACTCTCTGCACCAAGTAACAGAGTCAAGAGAAAGAATATAGAATATAGAAAGCGGTTCTCAGGTCAGAGAGGATAGTGTGGAAGAGAGGGCTCAGTCAGTATGTGGACCTCACCCTGAGGGCTCTGGACAGCCACTGAAGGAGCTGAATAGGGGGCTGGCATGCTCAGATTTGTGCGTTAACAGTGTTGAGTCTTTCAGCAGTGAGGAGGAAGAGAAGTGACAATAGGGGTCAGGGAAACCAAGTGGCATAAGAGGAAGGGACATCTTTGTGTAATGTGTCAACCCCAGAGGAGGCACCCTCTTGTCAATGGTCATGCAGAAGAGGACACAGAAAGCTGGCCTTTTGTCATGTGACACTCCAGGGGCATCTTCTATAAAACCTGCAGACAGCCTGAAGGGGACGCTTCATAGCATGCCTATTTGGAAATGGCATAAAGGAGCCCTTTGGATATGAGAATTACACACACAAAAAGTCCTTCTGCTGGGCCGATGCATCTCAGTATGGCTTTACTTGGTGCCACGAGCCTTGCAGCTTAATTCCTGATGTGACTGGGTGCTACAAGTCTTATATCATCTACGCACAACCGTTCCCAGGTCAGGCTTGAATTCTAACTGGGGGACCCTGGGTGTGGTACTTATAACCTGCACAGTGCCTCCATGACCTCCTTTATAAAATGCAGCCTGCAGTTACTCTGTGGATTAAATAGTGACAAGGAAAAGAAACCGCTTAGCACAGTGCCTGGCATAGAGGCAATGGGTGTTCTAAGAATCGTGGCTATTATCATTGCTTTGAAAAGCTTTCTTCTAAAATCAGATTTAAGAGGCAAAACTAGTTGAAAACAAGGCATGTAGCATCATGTTGCCTTTCTTACCACTTGAGTCTGTGTCAGAATCAGAGTCACTGTCACTGTCGTCAGAATACTTCTTGTGCTTTCTTTTGGATGACTTTTTCTTCCTCTTTTTCTTCAACCTTTCTTTTGAACGACTGAACTTCTTCTTTTTCTTCTTTTCTTCTATAGAAAATACAAATAAAAAGTAACTTCTAAAGAGGTATTCCTGAGTTTCAATTTTATCGCAACTGATATATTACAAAGGAAAAAGATGATAGGCGAATAGATGAGCAAAAATCAAGTCCAACACTTATTTTGAACTTCTCAATAAGCAAGCTCTGTATTTAAAAACTACCTTCTGAAGTCGAAGTGGAAGTAGTGTTTTTCTTTGGCTCTTCATCTTCTACTGGTGTATGTTCATCAGAGCTGAGGTCAAAGAACATGGATGTAAGTGTAAGGCCCAAGTGCCCCATAGTAACGAATTTTTAAGAAAGGATCAGGCTGAAGTGGGAAATGTTTAGCATCAACAATACCCTTGGATTCAGAAACCCCCTTCCCCCTTAACTCTGGCTAAACTTGGCTTCTGTAACACTGCTTATGCAAATTCCTCACATCTGAGTGGGCCTGCCTTACTCACAGGATACTGCGGCCAGCGGCCAAGGCTAACCTTGAGAACAGCCGGCCAAAGTTAATCTAACTATCCCGGCAGATGTACCCCTATCCCCAAGTTAATCTTGAGAAGTAACTGTCCCAGCTGATGTACTCCTAGTCCCCACCCTAATAGCTCATGCATACATCATACCCTTGGTTTGTACAACATCTTGTCAGACTGCCTATGTATATATAAATACTCTTTGAAAAACTGGGTCGGGGCTGCAGTTTTTCCCGCTTTTAGGGAGGCTGTAGTCGCTGGCCAGCTAATAAAGGCTTACTTATAGATCCTGAGAGTCTTGAGTGGTCATCTGGGTAAATTGAGGCACAACAGTAAGAATCAGAAAAGTGGTGAATGAGCCATGGAGTATAAAAATGGGGATTTAAATGTTTTCAGCAACAACTTTGATTGTCCAAGAGTATTGTAAGCAAGCACGGAGACACTTTTGTAAGAGCACAGTTCCAGGTTCGTAACCTTTACAAAACTATAACACAATCACTTATATTTGCATAATACTGAAGAGTTCACAGGGCACTAGTCACACTGAAAGCAACAAGGAGGATCTGTATTTTCAGAAGAAACCACAATGGTAAGTAAAAGTAGGAGAGCAGGAACTGTAAGGAAAGATTAAACAAAGAGAAGACTCCATCATGGTACCCAAAGTAAGTTAAGGACATGTGGTAGGACAGCAAGAAAACCCCACCAAACCACAGTACAAAGACACTGCATTATGTTCTGGAGAATTCTGGAAATGAATGTTACTACAATTTTCTAATCATTTACAAAGGGAGGAGTTTCTATATTATATAATCGCTTTCTCTGAAGATCACATCTGGAATCATTTAGGTATTACCCAAAAAGTGATTTTTTGGGTTCCTTCTAATTCTAATCCTATGAGCTCAGATTCTTAGAGCACTTTCCAAAGGTGCCCATTACCACAGGATTCAAATAATAGTGCTTGATCAGCCTGTCAAGGAGCGCTGGTAGCACAGTGGTTAAAGTGCTGCCCATCAACTGAAAAGTCAGCAGTTGAAACCTAGCAGAAGCTCCAAGAAAGAAAGCTGGGGCAGTTTGCTCCCACAATGACAGCCTTCTCTGCTCTATAGGGTTGCTGGGAGTTGGAGATGGCCGTAGGTTTGGTGATCACCCTGTGCAGGCACATCGTCTCAACTCAGTCTACAGCAGACCTAAAAACAGAGAGGGGAGAAGACACTTAGGAATAGCACCAAAGAGAAAAGAAGGAAGAAGCATCTGGATAGTATTTGGGCATAGGAAGATAAAGCAAGCAGAATCGCATTGAACAGTTTTGGTTTTTTTTAACCATATTGTCATTTTAATAAATGCTCTAATGAAGTTATATCATATTTCCATTGACAAAGTAAGATGGAGGTTTAGAAATATTATACAAATGATCTAATGATCTGTTTTGTTTCTGTGTTAATTTATATAAGCACATTAATTCCCATATGCTCTGCAGGATTAATATTTCGTGCCAAAGTGCTAAATTGCTGTGTGATTGGTGGAAATTTGAAAAGCTTTGTGAAGACTGGGCTTACTGGTCAGAGGAACCTGGAGGAACCTGAGACTATGGTTCTTAACTACTCTTCAGGTCTGGAATGGAGCTAACCCTCGTGGCCCAATTTTAACCAAGTGGTAGATAGGTAGATGTGGTGGAGGTGGTTACGTGCCGTGGAGTTGGAACCGACTCAGAGCGACCCTATACAGCATTTCCGAGGCTGTAAATCTTTAAGGGAGCAGAAAGCCTCATCTTTCTCCCATGGGACAGCTGGTAGTTTCAAACTGCTGGCTTTGCAGTTCGCAGCCCAATTCGTAACCACTACGCTACCAGAGCTCTTAGACAGGTATATAGTGGGGACAAAAACACTAGCAAGATATGCTCACTATGAAATGGCCAACCATTCAAGATCATAAGGACAACATTTATCTAAGAACAAAGCTCAGGAGGGTTGGGGAAGAGGGTGGAATGGAAATAAGAATCACAGGGTAGAAGTGGAATAATTATTGTTACATAGAGGGGGTTGCAATCATTGAGGTGAAACAAAGCGTATGATTTGCTGAATGTAAAACGGATGATATGTTTTGTAAATCTTCATTCAATTCACAATGGAAAGCTGTTTCTTTTTTTTATTTATTTAAAGTTTTTATTGTGACTTGAGTGATAGCTTACATGGGAGGACACTGGTTTTACACCATCATTTCATTGCAATGATTACAATCTCCTCCATGCATCATCATTCAACAGGATTTGCTTCTATTCCCTCCGTTGTGTGTTTTTGGTTTTTTTTTGGGTGGGGGGGAATGTACACAAAAACACTCAGGAATATATAATCATTTAAATTATCAAAGGGTACATTCTGCAAGCCTGCCTCCTGGCCTTAGCACACAGCCTTTCTCTTTCCATGACTCTAGAGTCATCTCTGCCTCCATCTCTGGTGTTACTGCTTCTTTGGATAGGGTCCCACATTCCACTCGTGCTCTTCTCACAAGATGGTCCTAGGGTCCTCTGTTTCTAGACTGTAATATTAACAACTCCCCCATTTTTGTTACTTCTGCCTTTACAGTTGTGACAGTTACAATTAGTCACGATAACAATGACTCACTATTGAATAATAAGAATCTTATCCCCATCTCCTTTCACCAGACCCGTCTAGACAAGATGAGAACTATTCAGTGGGGATTCTGCCTTCCTCCACACAATCCGAAACTAAGTGCCCGCTTGAAAACTTGTAAGTCAGTCACTTTGTGCCTTTATAGTCCCCCCATTTTAGGTAGCCAATGTCTAAGTTACCTGTCCCTATCATCCCTGTGTACAGAAGGGATAGGATTGATCCTTGATGTGAAGACTCTTTCTCTCTCTGTTGGTATTTTGAGTTACTACATCAAGTATAGGTCAAGTTCATCAAATTGTAGCAATTTATACTTGTTTCCTTTATTAAAAAATTACAAAAAAAATCTTCCTCCAGTTGAGTTCTGATCATCAAGCCTATCTACAAGTTTGGGTGTTGAACATGCATTTTTAAACATCTCTTTGCAATATCAGTATCTGGCATGCAATCTGCTACTGGGTTAGGTTAGAAAAAAATTCAAAATAATATATATGTACTATTTGTTGTAATTTTTACATTGAATGTTTTTATGAATGAGAAATATCCCATGAATTACAATATAGAAAGAACAATCACCATGCTAAAATCCACTAGCAACATGTTTCAATCCTTAGCTACATACCATGTTTATAGAATTTAGACGGTAGAAGAGTATAAAATACAAGAGAAAAAAAGATATCCGTATATATTCTTCATTTAATTACCAAAACTTCTAACGACAGATTCTAGATTTAAACAAATGGCATGATATACTTTTAAATGTTTTTACCACTTACTCTGGCTCAGGGTTCTTTGGAGAAAGTCCCCATACTTCAGGAGCACCCAATTCGCCAATCCTTTCTCTTTCACTTAGTCTCCTGGAAGATACAGGCATGTAAAGGTAAATGATAAATGTAAATACAAGATGTATTTTCTTTCCTGAATATAAAATCAAATTCAACAGGAATCCAGTTAAGTTCTAGTTTCACTTTTCATACGAAATATTAAATTAATAAATATCTGGTGGGAATATGGCCCCAACAACGAGGACAGGACCACACGGTCTAGTAGCATTATCAAATGGTACAGAGGACAGCCAGCCTGAGAAGGCAGGCCAGAACTGCAGTGTGCGAGATTGTGCCCTTCTGGCCCGTGCTAGACAATGTTTCAGTTGCTCATTCTCATCTTCTATAACACATGACAGAAGCTGTCTTGCATTTGGAAATAACTCCGTTTGCTTATACATAGTTATGAAAGGAGAGGGATGGTGATTTCAGTTTGATCAAACATTCAATTTTCAGAAATGAGAAGAATTAAGGAAAACACTTAAAAGACAGCATTAGAAGTAGAAAATGAAGGGAGTGCTGAAAATGTAAGAAAAGTTTAATGTGTAAAAAGCAGTAGTTGGTGGGGTACAGGGTTTGCTCCCTCTTTGTTTTCCCTGTAGCTCCTTTTTGGAAAAGAAACACAGTGTCTATCAACTCTTTGCAGAACATTAAAAAAAGAATGTTTGTGGTTTCTGATGTTTTACTTTTTGCTGTTATTCATAAACTGTGTGTGTGTGTGTGGGGGTGGGAGGGAAAGAGAAGAACTAAGGCTCTTCAAAGTTTAGCTGCTGTGGCTCCATTTGTTTTAGAACATCCTTACCAAATAAACAAAATTGGTCTGACTGTCTGAGTAAGGTATTTTTAAATTCTTTATTCCAGGGCAAAAGTCTTATAAAAACGCAGAGTCAGACTGACAGGATTTCCCACTTGAAGAAGCACACAACTGAAATAGAGCCAGACTGCACTGGGGATTTACGTGTGAAATGGGAAGGATGCCTGCCAGACTGTAAAGGGCTCGTGGTCCTGCCCTCAGTCCTGCTACTACCTGGCTTCAGCTGTTCTTTTGTTGTTGTTGCGAAGTGCCACTGAGTTGGTTCTGACCCATAGTGACCCTGTATGGGGTTTCCAAGGAGCAGCTGGTCAGTTTGAACCACTGACTTGTAGTTAACACCCTAGGACACTCTGTTCTCTTGTGGCACTGAAAGACAAGCACTGGACTACTAATTGCAAGATCAGTGGTCGAAAGCCACCAGTAGCTTCTCAGAAACCCTATACATGGTCAGTTGGAGTAAGAATCGACTTGACAGCACTTAACAAAAACAATAATTTATTTATTGCAAATACCTTCCTTAAACAACATAAAAGACAACTATACACATGGACCTCACCAGATGGAATATATAGAAATCAAATTGACTACATTTGTAGGAAGAGGTGATGGAAAATAGCAATGTCATCATCAAAAATAAGGCCAGGAGCAGACTGTAGAACAGACCATCAATTGTTCATATGTAAGTTCAGGCTAAAGCTGAAGAAAATCAACAAAAATCCATGAGAGCCACAATATGATCTTGAATATATCCCACCTGAATTTAAAGATCATCGAAAAACCAGATTTGATGCATTACACACTAATGACCAAAGACCAGAAGAGTTGTGGGAGGACATCAAGAACATCATACAGGAAGAAAGCAAAAAGTCATTAAGAAGACAAGAAAGAAAGAAAAGATAAAAATGGTTATCAGAAGAGACTCTGAAGTTTGCTTTCCAGCATAGAGATGCTAAAGCAAATGGAAGAGATGAGGAGGTAAAAGAGCTGAAGGGATCATTTCAGAGGCAGCGGGAGAAGACAAAGGCAAGTATGCAATGATATATGTAAAGACTTGGGGTTAGAAAACGAAAAGGGAAGAACATGTTCAGCATTTCTCAAGCTGAAAGAACTGAAGAAAAAATTCAAGCCTCAACTTGCAATATTGAAGAGTCCTGGTGTGGTGCTGTGGGTAATGTGCTGGACTACAAAGTTGGTTTGAACCACAAGGTTGGTGGTTCAAGCTCACCAGCTGCTCCTCGGAAACCCTATACAGGATCACTATGGGTCGGAACAGACTCGATGACACTTAACAACAAAAACAATGGGCAAAATATTGAATAATTCAGAAAGCATCAAAAGAAGACAGAAGGAATACACAGTCGCTGTACCAAAAAGAAATGGATGATGTTCAACTATTTAAACAGCTAGCATATGATCAAAAACCAATGGTACTGAAGGAAGAAGTCCAAGATGCACTGAAGACATTGGAAAAGAACAAAGCTCCAGGAATTGACTGAATACAAATTGAAATGTTTCACCAAACTGATGCAGCACTGGAGGCACTCACTCATCTATTGTAAGAAATTTGGAAGACAGCTATCTGGCCAACGGATTGAAAGAGATCCTCATTTATGCATATGCCAAAGAGAGGTGACCCAATGGACTAAATAGAAGAATATCACTAATATCACATGCCAGTACAATTTTGCTGAAGATATTTCAAATCTGGTTACAGCAAGTACATTGATAGGAAACTGCCAAAAATTCAAGCTGGGTATAGAATAGGAAGTGGAACAGGGGATGCCACTGCTGATGTCAGATGGATCTTGGCTAAAAGCGGAGAATACCAGAAAGATCTATATTTGTTCTTTATTGACTATACAAAGGCATTCGACTGTGTGTATCAAAACAAGCTATAGATAACATTGCGAAGGATGGGTATTCCAAAACCACTTAATTGTGCTCATGAGGAACCTGTCCATAGGCAGAACAGGGGGACACTGAACGATTTAAAATCAGGAAAGGTGTGCACTAGGACTGTATTCTTTCACCATACATATTCAATCTGTATACTGAGCAAATAATCTGAGAAGCTGGATTATATGAAGAAAACTGTGGCATCAGAATTGGAGGAAGACTCATTAACAACCTGCGATATGCAGATGACGAGCCTTGCTTGCTTAAAGTGAAGAGGACTTAAAATACTTACTGATGAAGGCCAAAGACCACAGCCTTCAGTATGGGTTGCACCTTAATGTAAAGAAAACAAAAATCCTCACTACTGGATCAGTAAATAACATCATGATAACAGGAGAAAAATTTAAAGTTGTCAAAGACTTCATTTTGCTTGGATCCACAATCATGGAAGCAGCAGTCAAGAAATTAAATGATGTATTACATTAGGCAAATCCGCTACACAAGACCTCTTTAAAGTGTTGAAGAGCAAAGATTTCAGTTTGAGGACTAAGGTGCGCCTGACCCAAGCCATGGTAATTTCAATAACCTCATATGCATGTGAAAGTTAGACAATGAATAGGGAAGACCGATGAAGAATTTATGCATTTGAGTTATGGTATTGGAGAAGAACAAAAGGTGAGATTTTCTGTTTCTGCAAAGATTTACAGCCTTGGGAAACCCTATACCAGAGTGGAATACATATATATATATATGCTGGATAAGCACTAGACTGCTAACAACAAAGTGTGGCACTGTAGGGTAAGCACTAGACTGCTAACAACAAGACTGGCAGTTCAAACCCATCAATGGCTCCTCGGAAACCCTATTCCATTCTTCCTTCCATACCCATTTGGCATGCGCATCTACCCAAAGAACATTGTTGTTTTGAGGTTGTATATATATTCCTATTTACCTTTCTTCCCTTTAGCCCTTGTATACCTTCCTGTGTCTTCACCTGTCTTCATCATGCTTCTGCCAACCTCACTCTTCTTGTAGCTTGTTCTTCCAGTCACCTGACTTAACATGTGTCTACCTTCAAGCCAGTTAACTACTCTCTGTTCCCTTCCACCCTTGGCAACTATCAAAGAATGTTTCTTTTTTTCTCAAACTCTCAAATATTTGTGGGATAAATAAGTATATATGACCAACTCGTTGTCATGTATCCACACACAGGACACTGTTGTTCCAAGGTTGTGTAGTATCACTATCCCCTTGAATTTACCTCTATCCCCTTTAGCCCACGCATACCCCGCTATGTCTTCACCTGTCTTCATCCTTCTGCCCTCTCCCCCTGCTTGTATAGTGTCCTCCCAAGGAGCTCACATGTGTCTACCCTTTAGCCAGTGAATTACTCTACCCTCCCTTCCACTCCTGGTAGCCATTTTCAAGGTGAAGAAATGAAGAGGAGATGGAGTGTCCATCCAGAACCTTCTGAGGTGGGACATTCCCACTTTGAAGGACATGCAGATCAACCCAGAGCAGCTAGAGTAACAGAAGATAATTCTTGAAAGAAAGATGAGCAGGGGGAAAAAAAGAAAAGCAGACTTTTTGGCTGTTATAAGAACAAACAAGTTGTTTGCCTGGGAGCTATCAAGGCAAGCCATTAAGGCCTTTCAGCACAAACCTCCCTCCAAGACCGAAACTCAAAGGGAACACATGAGCAGGCTTGTAAGCTCACAGGTGACCACGTTGGTCTACTTGTGAATGGAAGTGGGGGAAAGGCAGTAATGCAGTAATGAAGACATGGGCTGAGTTCGCCAATGTTCCACAGACTCCTGTCCACCTTGAGATGAGAGAGAGAAGAGGAAGGGCTGGTTGGTCCGAAGTTTGGGGAGACTTGGGAACTCGTGAGCCCATGGACTCTGACCTAGTAGCCACTTAGGGCTAGAGCTGAGAGTGAAGCGTCCAGCTAATATGAAGTGGGGGGACGCATGCAAGAATGCCCAAACTTGCAGATAGTACCCATTTGACATAGCTTGGATGCCTTGGTGATCAGAACTCAACTAGAGGAAGATAAAGAAGTTTGATACAGGAAGCAAATGTAAATTGCTACAATTTGATGAACTTGACCTTTGCTTATATATGTAGTTGCTCAAAATACCAACTGAGAGGGAAGCAGTCTTCACATCAAGGATCAAGCTTGTCCCCTCAGTACACAGGGTTGATAGGGACGGGCAACTTACACATTGGCTAACTAAAATGGGGGGACTATAAAAGCACAACGTGGTTGGCTTACACGTTTTCAAGAGAGAGTTTAGTTTCAGAGCAAGGTGGGGGAAGGTAGAATCCCCAATAAATAGTTTTCATCTCACCTAGATGGGTCTGGTGAAAGGAGATGGGGATAGGATTGTCTTGATTCAATAATAATTATCATGACTAACTGCAATTGTCACAACTGTAAAGGTAGAAGTTGTGTAACAAAAGGGGGAGTAGTTAATTTTACATTCCAGCAACAGAGGACCCTAGGAACATCAGGAGGAAGAGCATGAGCGGAACATGGGACCCTAACCAGAGAAGCAGTGAC